CAGAGGAGAAAGACAGGCCAGTAGCACTCGGGGGACGGCGCTTCCTGCAGGGCCTCTGCCAGGCCGTCACATCCCTGAGCACAGCCTTCAAGAGAGAAAATTCTGTGTCACCAGGACACTCTTCTCACGAGTGTCTCACCCAGCAACAGACTCCACACAGAGGACACGGACCTGAACCATGAAAAACAACATTGCAGACAAATTCTAAAATGACACGAGAAACACTCAGGGACAATGTTAAGTTAAAAAGACAGGATGCAAACAGTATATATGCACAGAAAACTAAAGAGAGAGGACACGCACATAAATATTAACAGGGGTCTTCTCTGGGGGCGGTGGGACTACAGGTCGTTTTACTTTTCTCCCTTTTCCTTGCATATATTTTTGCATATATTTTTGAATATATATATATTTTTGCATATATTTTTGCATATATTTTTGAAATTGAACCTGAAAAACAAAACACTAAAACTTACTATAGTTAAGCAATCGTCTACCTTATGCTAAACAAAATGGGTAGAACATGGAAAACCTCTGTGAGGAAGACCTTCAAACAGAAGGCACCCTTCATTACTTATTACGAGATACCATTTATCCAAAAGGGCCACATGCCTATGTATCCACTTAGGAAAGTCCCCGAGAGGATGAAGGTGACCTCGGTCCTGAAGGACAGTCACAGTTTAATACAGTCCTCATTGCCTGGACCTCTGAAGCCAGTTTCTAAAGCCAAGTTCAAGGCAAGCTCATCAGTCCCAGACTTGATTTCTCTATTGAGTTACCTCTTGGTGGTTCCCCCATTTTATTTGGTTGGAGGTGGCCTCTCTCACCTAGCTAGATACTAGACATTCATTCCTCCTTGTAGCTCTGTGGTGTGAGGACTGTGTCTGCAAAGGGGCACAGCCAGATGTGAAGGAGCCCCGGAAAACAGCTTCCAAGGCTTGACTCCATGGGAGCCTGCTGCAGGACCATCTCCGTCAGGCCTGCTTCCTCTGCAGCCCATATCCATCCCACAGATGGGGCAGCCGTGGAATCGCATCCGGCTGGCAAGGTGACACTGCAGGTTCCAGGCTTGTGGGACGCCAGGAAAGATTCCCACCTCCAAACACTACCCTGCCTGCCTCTGGTGCTTGAATTCTGTTAACAACACACAAAGGCTTTCATTCCATGATGAATATGTGAGCTGGACGTGTAGATGCCTCTATTAGGAGAGAGCTCACATGGCTGACATGTACGTCTGAGTGTGGCATTGATGGCAGAGAGTGGCAGGTATGATGCTGGGCCGTGAGGGATGGCGTGGGGCAGCCTAGGGCTCTGTGTGCCTGAGTGGGAAGGAGATCGGGGCCCTGAGAATGGATTCGTTCATCTATGCGGTAAGTGCTAGCGAGCCTCAAGGTCATGCCCTGACCTTCAGACACCACCGCCGTGCTGTATTCTCTGTATGTTGCTCCTGGAACCGGGCACGACTGCAGGTGTGCGCCTGTTACGTGCCAGGCTTTGACATGTGCCAGGCCCAGTGTGGCTAGGACTACAACTCGNCAAGAGCCTTCAGGACAAGTGACCCGAACCCGGTGATGTAGCAGCGGCCGCAGCAGCATTCTTCGGGCGGGCACCTCTTTCCTCCTGCCCCAAGCCCCTCCCTGACAGCCGCCTGGGCCAAGGGGCCTCCAGAAAAAGGAAGAGCCTGTGGTCGGCAGAGCCAGAGTTCCTGAGCGCACAGACACAGCCCACCCAGCTCTGCAAGGATAAGGAGCCACAGTGAGAGCGTTCACAGACCCTCGTCCGGAGGCTCCTCAGATATAAAAACAGCAAACGTCCATTTTCAGACTACGGCCAGCAGGCTGACCACTTCTTAGGGCTCTCCTGCCACCAGCACCTCGGTCCAAGCCACCATCTCGCTGGGCTGACTGGACAGCCTCCTGACCGGTCCCTGCACTCCCCCTTGTACCCTGCGGTGTAGTCTCAGCACTTTGCAATGCGGCCTTTCTACTGTGTGTGTCGAGGTTGTCATCTCTGTCCTCAAGGCTGCGGTAGCTGCCCCTTGCACTTTTGCAGGCTCTGCAGGCGCCACTTGACCTTGCTCCTCTCCGCCTCTGGCCGCATCTGCTCCTTGCTCCCTTGAACACACCAGTTGTTCTTCTGCTCAGCGCTCATGATATTTCCTGTTTCTGGAATGTTATTTCTGTCAGTTGTCACATCATGGTCTCCACTCAAATGTCACCTTGTTACTGCAGACTCAGAGGGCTCCGCTTGCCTGCACTTATCCAAGCCAACACAAGACATGAGCTGGAGTTTGCAGCAAAGAAAGAGAAGGTTTATTTAAGGAGTTGGTGCCAAGCCCAGAGATGCAAGTGAGCTAGTGCTCAAAGGCCTGGCTCCCCGATGGCCACTAGAGGCTGAGTTATAGAAGGGAAGATCATTAATCGTGGTCTCTATGGGAGTGGGGATCATGGACTCTACTGATCGGTCAGGGCTAAGACCGGGAGCAGTTGGTCATGGCTGCAGGTCCTGGTGTCAGTCGTGGCATCGTTCGTCGGGTTCCCAGGGGATGCCGTCTGTGGGGCCTTTCTGCGTTCATGAGTCTGGAGCTGAAACATAACTGAGGCCGAGGTGTTATCTTTGTTAGACTGAAACCTGATTCTAGATTGAGGTTTGGTTATTGTATCTTGGTCACGGTTGATAGGCCTGAAGCTTTCTTCCCGAATGAGTTTGGTGTTGACCAGAACCTATTTCCTAAGAGCCTAGCGATTAAAAGGAGTGGAAATACAGTATATGCAGAGTTAAGAGGGTCTGGGGAGAGAATGCAGATGAGTTACAGTTCCGTCGGGATAGACAGAGCTGGCTGGGATAAGAGCAGACTGCATGCTAAAGAAATGGAGTTCCTGTGCGGTTCCACTGTATCAGTGAGGCCTGCTTGATCATTCAGTACAGCTGCGTCCCCCACCGTCTCCTAATCCCCTGCTGCTGCTTTATTTTCCCCACTGTGCTTATTACCAACCGGTGGGTGTATGTTCACCTGCGTGTTGTCTGATCCGCAGGCGAGCAGGGCTGTGTCCTGTTCGCTGCCATGTACGCAGAGTCCAGGTCAGTGTCTGGCACCTGGCAAAGAACTCAGTGATATTTGAGCAACGAGTAAATTCTTTAGTCCATTGAGAGAGTTCTAAACCTTGATAATCCTTAGAAATGATGTAGTCCAGGTTCCTCATTTTAAAATTCAGGAAGCTGCTGGCCAGGTGGTTGAAATGACCTGTTCAAGGGTATACAAGTAGCTGGCGTCGCTGCATAACGTCACAGGACACGTTTGATTCTATAACTTTCTTTTTGTACTCCGTTTGGGTCATGAGCATCCCCCCAACTCACAATGTTTGTTTAAGTCAGCACTTTAATGCCTGTTCTACTTTTCAAGATACTTAAACAACTGTTCCTAAGTTATTAAACTAAGTTACCAAAGTTGAAGTGTGTGCTGCTGTATACCACAGCCTCTTTGAATGAACAAGTAAAGCAGTGAATGAGCCTGGAAGAGTGCCTGTGATGCTGCACGGGATGTCCAGGTGCGCAGGTGCGGGCTGTAGGGTACACCTGGGACTGTGGGGGTGGAGTGGGGTGGGGAGTGGGGGTAGACTGGGAGTGGGAGTGGAGTGGGAGTGGGGTGGGGAGGTGGGGTTGCGGGCTGCACAGGGCTAGGAGGGAAAGTGGAAGTCGCTGGTGCCGTCCTCCGTCCAGCCGCTCGCTCCCGAGAGCCGGTCTACTCGTCCCGAGCGAGGCCCACGGTCCAATCATGGGGCGCTCGGATGCGGTCCCCAGGCCACAGTGGCCGGTGGAACGGGCTCCTCGGGACTCGACCCACAGCGGGCGGCGGCCGGCCGGGAGCGTTGGTGGTATAGTGGTGAGCATAGCTGCCTTCCAAGCAGTTGACCCGGGTTCGATTCCCGGCCAACGCAGCCGTCCGGCTTTTTTTTTTTNTACTGTCCCCTTTGTCCTAAGGGCTCTTGCTCCATGTGACTTTGTAATTACTGCCCTTCCTCAGTAACCTTCGAAGTTGTCTCTGCACAGAGAAGTACAGCCCCGTGTTCACTGCCAACAGGAGTCCCATCACCAGGTAGAATGGAATTTGGAAGTCTTGAACTGCGGAACCTAAGAGAAGAGGCAGAGGGTGAGCGATGGCAGTGGCGAGGGCACAAATTAGGAATCAACGCCAGGTCCCCAGTGGGGAACCTTTCTGACACCTGCCAAGAGCCAGGTCCTGAAGGACGTGGGGAGTCGGCAGAAAGCTGCCTCCCTCTGCGCCCAATCTCAGCTCACCCAGGTGGAGGACTGTGAACCAGGCATGCTGAGCAAGGTAGGGTGTTGGGTTTTGGGGAAATTATGAAAGTTGTCAAAATAAGTTGCTGTGAGAAGTTGTTTCTTAATTCAGTAACTTTATCTTGTGCCTCAAAATTCTACTCATTGTTTTCACCCCATGCTGTTAATTGTTGCTAAAGGAAACCTGAAAAAAAGTGAACCATTGAAATTTGTTACTTACTGGCAGAAAAGTGATATTGTTTCTTTACTGAGGTCCAATAACTAAGGACCCTAAAGGGAAGGAGGTAGAATTTGTTGGTTCTCACCCTTTAGCCCTTGACATTGTTATTTGCTGTTGTCTGTAAACTGGTAACATTACATAGAATGGATTTTTAGTTTCAATTTTTTTAACTCTTAATTTTGATTTAATTTCCAACTTTAAAAAAGTTGCCAAAATAGGATAAATAACTCTCATCTATTCTTTACCTAGATTTACTAGTTGTTGCATTTTGCTCCATGTGCTTCATCCTTTGCTGT